ACTTATTAGTAAGAGATGATTTATTGGTTCATAAGTTTTTCTCTAGCTCTGAACTATGGAAGCAATCAGCCCACTAGGTAATGGCCTTGAATGATGACTCAGAAAGGAGCTCATAATTTATGCACTTCAGTGTGTCTAAACTATGAAATTTCCTCATTTGCTAAGATAAAATTTCTTTCTATAAGTATATTATAACCTTAGACTCTAATTAGTCCTGGGAAGATGAGATTATAACAGTAAGTACAGCAATCTGGTTACATGGTAAAGAACTGTTCTGCATGTAACCAACTTAGGTTCCCAGCAATACTAAATTATAACTTATAAATATTTTTGGCTCTTGCCCTGTCTTATTTTTATGATAGTTATGAATTTAGAAAGCATATGCACTTACAAAAACACACTGTAGTTATAATTGAGGCTTGCAGATGATACTACATGTGGTTTGGCTCTAAAAAGAGATAAATATTCCAGTGTGGAAAGCCATGGAAATACTAAACTATACCATTCAAATATCTCACAGTAGTGTAGTAAATTACCTAGAAATATTTTATGTCACTATAAAATATCACCTGCCCATCATTTTAATATTCTAAATATAGCAGACCAAATTCTTCTGCTGGAAAGTGAATCCTGGCTACTTGGATGTAAGGTGTTATGTGCTAAAAGCCTTTTTTTTATAACGATGTTTTCTACAGTATTTTTCATCATTTCTGATTTCCCCACACACGAATGTCCTGTTGTGATCACTTTAGGTTTTCTTAATACTTTGTTTTACCTTATTTATTATATATAGTGGCCTTACTGTATACATATTTTGTTCTATACTCAAAATTGAACTGGTATCTCATACACCTCGGTGTCTATTTCATAAAATGGAAGAGAAGAATACTGATAATAGAAATAACAAATGGCAAAGTATTTACTTTTCCAACAATAATAATAATACTTTGATAGAACTTAAATTTATTTTCTAAATTTACTAAAATTTATTTCCTTTCTAGTTCATTTTTCCATAAAACCTCAAAAATATTGGGTGTCACAGAGATAGATTTGTTGAGATGCCTTGCATATCATTATTTCCTAGAGTTAATGAAGTTACAACTATACCTGAAAATATAATGGTTATTAAAATTAATACTTAATAGGCCCCTTGTTTAATATACCATGCTATGGCTAGGATCTGCCAGTAAACTGATTTACCTAGCAGTATGTTATGTAAAATTTTGAACTTCCTTTGTTTTCTCAACTCTGCATTTTAAATACATAATAATAAATGCTGACAATTTTTTGAATTATCTTCCAAAATGATATTACTGTGGGTTATAAATAAGTAATTGAATTTGGTTTGTAGCCATATTAATTAATTAACCTTAACATTTTACAGAACAGTTTTGCTAATATTAGACACTGGAAGACCAAATAATATTTTGTAGTTATTATTACCAATAACTAGCATCATTAAAGAACAATAGTTAGCAGCCTTTCAAATTTGTGGATATAATCTACCAAACCACAAAACAAATTAACATATCTTGATTTATTTTTTATTAGCTGTTAACATTAGACAGAATTCCCTATTGAAAATTAAGATTATTTAGCATGGGTTTGGAATTTTTCATTGATTGAGCTATACCAAAGCATGTACTAGCTGCTAATTAGGTTTATTTTAATGAGTTCTTTATATTGTGATGTTAAAATGTTTTTCCATAAATATGTTTTATTAGATATTATAAGCACCATTCATCACTTAATATTTTTTCTGAAATACACATTTTAATCTTAGAAAAGGTCAAGTTGAAATAATTCAAGTCATTTATCTAAGAATATGAATGGTTATATCCTTTGTTATAAAATTAAATCATTTTTCTACACAAAAAATAAGATGAAAGATTAGAAATTTTTAACATCTTTCCCTAAAAATAAAAACATGGATGCACTTTTTCTAAAAGCTACTAAATGCTGGAATAACAACATAATCTACCTTAGACTAAGATTTAGTTTTTGCATTTTGTCCTACATTTACAAAGAGTGTTGTTTCATGTAATTTAACATCACTATTATGATTATTATCCTTAGCCTCTGGTTTAAAACATTTTTTAGAAAAATAAAGTCATGTTGAGAAGAAACAAACAAAAATGAATAGGGATGCCTACTTTTATTTTTTTTCAGTATTGAGGTTTGAACTTAGGGCCTCACATTTGTTAGGCAGGCACTGACCACCTGATTTACACCCCCCGCCCCTCTTTTGTTCTTGAAATCAAAGAATGGATAAAACCATATTGTCCCTTAGTCTCCATCTCTGATCATATTGGACCTTATTTCAATCACGGCTAATGGATCCTTAAAAGTAGATAGCCTTTAAATCCAGGCTTTGCCATGAATCTCTTTATGGTGCTTTGGAAAGAATCCCATATTCTGGTTTATCCACAGTATTAATTTAGTATCCACAGTATTAAACAAACAAAAAAGATTTTTCAAAATATTCAGTTAAGCTCAGTTGTGTTACCAGTCCCATCTATGTATTGTATTAAGTTTTAAGGAAAGTCATCTCTGAAGATTAGTTATGTAAGTGAATGACGTAGAAATCCACTCTTAAAAAAAAAAGCTGGGTTGGGTCCATATGCACAACTTGATTTAATGATGACAAACTGTCTTTTCCTTGGATTTGAATGTATGGAACTGGCAGTAGAGACAACCACCAGAGGAAATAAAAAATCCATTAAAAAAGAAAGAAAAGAAAAAAGTAATTGTTTCAACTCCCTGTATGTGATACATATTTCGAGGAACATTGTATTTGAGTTCTGGGTGCTTATCTTAGAGCCAGATCCCAATCATACAAAGAAATTAATATACCCAATCAGTGTATTAAGCATCTACAAAGCTTGTCAGTAATCAAACACTGTAGTGTTGAGAATAAAACTCTTTAAAATTCAATTTCTAGAAAGAAAAATGTAGGGCTATAATTTTATTCCATTTATAAATAAGCTGTCTTGCCATCGCTGTAATTCCACATTTTACCTTAGTGAGTAAAATACAGTAAGAATTTTATAACACCAGGAACTGGTGATTGATCTATAAAACACCAAAGAACACATACACTAAAGTGGTTCTGATTCTCAGGAAGTTTCACCAATTATACCAACTCTTACAAAGTTTTAAAAGAAATCCAGCCTTTTTTCAAGCCTTCTCTTTCTATATTCTGCTCCCCAAAAGAAGACTATTTATTTATTTATGGCTTGGTAAAAATCTCAGAGAGCAGAATAGGAAAAGCTTAATTGTCATATATAAAAGTACAAGGGTATTATTCTTAAGCAAAAACAAGGTGAAATTTTATGAAACAATAGCCTAAGTCAAACAAATAAGCAAAACAAAACACTGATTGAGTTATGTTTAAGGGCTACTCTGTGAGTTAATTAAACTGTTACAAGTCTCACAAGTGCTATCTATTATAGGAAGACTCAAAAATTGAAATTAATAGGAAAATGTGATGGGAAAGAAGTTTAAGCAAAGCAATAAAATTTATGCCTGCTGACAGGCAAGATCAGATTCAGTGCAAGATGTTTGGAAATAACTTTTTCTTGGGTGTGAAGGATATTAATGTGTTACTATATCCTATTTCAGTAAAATATGTGTCCCTACAAAATAAGTCTCAATAGGTAGGATATTAACAACATAAGAACCAAAATAAAATTGGTATTACTCAAAACATTATCCTCCTCCACACACTAGAAGATGGATATCATAATTTCTACTTAATTTCATTTCGATATTGTATTCAGTAACTGCTCATCTCTACTATACAATGTCAAAGAGTCATAAGGACCCTGGATGATTCCCCCCACCCCCCGTATCTTTGGTTTGTTTTTGCCAGACTTGTGGAAGGAGAAATTTCATACTTGGAGAGCATGTACTTGCCATCTCAGTGAATCACATGCTATCAGCACAAGAGTTAACCATTTTTAGAATTACTTGTATTTAATACATTTATTTTTCTTTCCTGAAATTCCTAAATTGCCAATGCTTCAAGCAAGACAATAATTCAGTATAATGTCCTTTTTCACACTGAATATACTATGATTTTCTCTCTTCTTTCCTCTTTTCCCTTCTTCTTTCTTTCCTTCCTTCCTGTTTGGATCCTGCTCATTGAGACAATTTTCCTTGCTTGTTCTGGTTAGTTAAGTACAGAGCCCTTTCCTAGGCAATGAAAAAGGAACAGCTCTCTTAATAGTGGCTATTGGTCAAAGAATCACTTTACAACTGGTCACTCCAACTTCTAACATCATCACAGTAATATGCCAATAAGGAAGAATAAACTGTTCTCTACTTCTTTTTCTCTGACTTGTTCCTGTTAACTAGGATGCTTGAACAGAATCATATTTCTCCCCATTACTGTATAAGTAGGGTGAAAGTGTTTGTATAATTATGTAAAATAAAACCAGATTGGAACTGAAGAAGAGCTGTAGGGCTTTTCCCATGCTGGCATCCAACTGAAGAAACAGGGTTGGTCATTAAGTCATAATTAAACATTAGCATATGAGCAGAAACATAATCATATATTGTTACAAATACACAATGTTGAATAAAAACCACAGAAATATTTTCAATCAGCCCTGGCAGCCAGGAAACTCTTTTCAGATGTATTTCCTTTTTGAGTTTTCCCAATTTGTACTCAGCAATGAAGTCAGGGACTTTTTGTGATGTGCTAAATATTCCTTTTCTGCATATATATATATATATATATATATATATTTATTTATTTATGTGTATATGGATCTGTATACACACTATATATATATGTGTGTATATATATGTGTATATGTGTCTGTTTATATACATATACACATATACATATATATATAATATGATTTAAAACAGAATACAAAATTTTCAACCCATCTTAAGTGATCTGCCAAATTGTTTCACAAGATTCATTTTATCATGGTCTACATTGTGCCTAGAATATGTAAAAGGAAAAAAGTAAAGATAAAAATCTCAATGTTAGATTAAGATCTCAGTATATAGTGCATATTGATAAGGTGGCACCCATGTGAGCACTGATATTTTGAAAGTGGTCTTACATAATAAAAATTCTATTCCTTGAATGTCATTCAGTTTTTAAAATGATACACACACTTACATTCATAAGCACACTTAACCACAGTCACACACACATATAAAAACTTACACAATTTCATCGTTCTGGAATTCCAGCTCTCCACAGGTGTCCTCAAAGTCCTCCCCTCCACCTCTGGCAGTCCCTTCAATGGTTTTATAGGGAACGATAACATTTCCTCGAGCTCCAGATGTTCTCAACACCTTCACCTCCATGATGCCAATGCTCTCACTCACATGAGTCACAGGTTCCTCAAAAGTAAAGATGCCTGCATGGTCATCATCAAAGATGGTTACTGTGGCAGTGGAGGGTGATCCAAGGCAAGCGAGTGTAGAGACATGATTGGCTTCCAGTATGCCATCTTCTGAAGCTTCAGAAGATACTTTGACATTGCTGAGATGCACAAGGAAATTTTCATCCTCCTCAAAGATATCATCATCAATGATGCCAACTCTGATTTCCTTCTGGATCTCCCCAGGTTTAAAGACCACAGTGCCTTCAGTAAATTCATAATCAGAACCAGCGTTGGCTGTGCCATCTTCTGTTCTGAAGTCAACAAACACAGTGTTGGTCAAATCACCACCTCTGCGGATAATGGTCAGGGCTACCGTACCACAGTTTTCCAGGCACTGATATGTCCCTTGCTCAAAGAAGATCTTACTAACAGGGTCATTTTCAGCCATGTCTGTGTTGACTTCATGCATGCTGACAGCCTTCCTTGCTTGGTCAGCTGCATGCCTCTTCAAAATATTGCCAGCTCCAGTCATCAGGCGAGTAGCTTGAATGCGATAGAATGCTCGACTTTTTTGCTGTTGACTTAGGACTTGATAGTTGGCTAATTCTATTAATTGCTCTATTTCTTTCTCTGGATGCTTCTGTTTAAGTTCCTTCAGAATCCTAGCCATTTCTCGCCTAGCCTCCTCATCATCTTGGTCCCTCTCATCAACTTCCAGAACGAGAGCACCATCTAAGAAATTGTCAACATGAGAGTTGACAACCTTCCCATCCATTTCAATTTCAGTTTTGGAAGATGGCCTGTCTCCTTCATGTTCAATAATCATTCCTCTCTGTTTGCCAGCACGATACCGCTTGTAGACATACTTGTAAAACAGAAGCCTCCTATCTGCTACCCAAGCGAACACAACACAAATGGGAAAGAAGAAGAAAGTGAGCAAACCTTCCCAGACCTCCACAACACCAGGAGAGATGACAGACAAAATAATGTAAAGCCAGGTATAGGCAAAGATGCTCCAGGCTGCTGTCACAAAGAACACACGCAAATGCTTAATCTTCCTTGTCTCCCCGTCAGGGACAACGTAAACACAAAGTGCGATGATGATGAACATGTTGAAGGCAGCACTTCCCACGATGGTGCTGGGACCAAGGTCTCCAGCTGTGAAATTGTGGCCGCACACTTCAATTACCGAAAGAAGAATTTCAGGAGCAGACGATCCCAGGGCCATCAAGGTCAAGTTTGACACGGTCTCATTCCAGATCCTCACAGTTGTCTTGGTGGTCTCTCCATTGGGTTTCTTTATGGTTATTTCTTTTTCTTGAGATGTGATGACTTCTATAGAGGACATGAACCGGTCGGCAATGATAGAGACTCCAAGAAACATGTAGACCATAGCCACAAAATACACAGTAGCTCTAGCAATTTTGTCCCCAAAAGAAGGGTCTTGGGGCTCCCAGATGGGCAAAATCACCCCTTTCTTACAGTAATATGAGCCAGTGCATTCACCAGTTTCATTTCCTTCTCCTTCCATTTCTGTCTCAGCAGTTATATGGTCCACATGGGAAAATAACAGAGCCATCAAAGCTAACAGGTGAAACCCCATTGAAAATGTAGGTGAGAGACTTAATCGCAGCATAGTGTCCAGTGAGACTTCCAATTGTCCCAAGCTACTGTTAAAAATAAGATGAGGGGAAGGGTAGAAAAAAATTACATTATTAGAGCCAAATCTAAAGCATGACTAATTACTTATGTGTCATTACTTTTACCAAAAATTTGTGTATGTCTGACCATCACAAAATCTCTGGTGAATCATTATTCTAAGAATCCATCAGTGATTAAGCAACCCTTTGTAAAATTTATAATTCAGAGTCTCTGTGGATTTTTCTACATGGAGTCTCATTCATTGAGAAAGAACCACAGTTGACTTCCTGGAAATGAAAAGTTCAATTATAGCCTGGCCTTACTGAACACACATTTATGCATACTAATAGCCAACAAGAAAGAAAAAAACTTCTGAAGCATTAAATAATTTCCTCCTTGTTGCTCAAACAGATTTTCTTTTAAATTTTGGTTAGTACATTATCTTGGAGAAGCTATTTCTTTGACAAAATTATCTTATTAGGATTCATGACTTGCAACTCAAATTCTGAAAAAAATCCTACCAACATAAGATGTGATGATTGTCTTAAATTCTGGAGTACACCTTACACTGTAGTTCATGAACTATCCTACTGTTCCAAACTTACTTGGGAGCACAAATAAATCTTCACGCTTGTCTGCAATCAAAGCTCAAAGGTATTTGTTCTTATGAGGAAAAATCCACTGTAAATGCAGTATTTCCACATATTAAGTATAGTTTTTCAAGCATGTTTTGATGAAAGCACATTTACTTCTAATTTTCAGCAAGCCCAGGTCTCCTGATCTGTTAGCAGATGGACAGCTGATTCACCAAGCAGAGCTCTTCACATCTGTATACACAGCCCACTTTGGGACATGTAGGCTGCAACAGGAACCAGACCATTGTCTGCAAAATGAACAGGAGATAACCGTGGCCTGGGCCTAGTTGTGTATAAAGCCTAGCAGGCTGTGAAATCAGCCATAAAATGTTCCTTCTCAGTGTCACTCTCATACTTTCCATGGTCATTTCAAAACACATATTAGTTCTGTAGTAGGCTCAAATGACCAAAATATGCAAGAGTGATGATTCCATCTAAATTAGCTCATGTGGCATAACAAAAATGACCACAAAGTATACATATGATGAAGGGCTGTAGGCAGTTAAACATATGGCAATAGTCACTGAGCAGCACAAAGGATGGTAAGCAAAGTAGTGGACAGAGCCACCACAGCCCTAAATTCACCACAAGCTCATACAAAACTCAGCCTTGACCTCATATCACCTCTGCCTCCTGGGGCTGGGGTATGCGGGTTAGTGTGGGACAGGAGGGTAAGTGTTCCTCATGGCTTGGGAAAAGTTAAAAGAGGAGCTGGGTTAGAGGCTCTCACAACTTCAAGTTCACTGAGAGCCACACCACTTTTGCCTATGTTCCCCAGCCCAGGTTTGCTGCTGATGGTTTACACGGAAAACTGCACCAGGACCCAGGAGAATTCCCCTGTTCAGCACATACAGGCAGACCCTCCGTGACCCCATCACAGTCTAAAGCCATTTTTAGCTCATCACTAGTGGGAGATTGGCTTCTTTGCATTTCTCCCATGCTAAAGACCAGCAGAAGGTTGCAACAGTCGACGGGTTCAATCTAAGTGAAAGACTGGAAAACAGAAGAAACAGGTTTCCAAGGTATGCAAAAGTTCCTGGTCAGTCTGTCAGATTGTTCAATCATTGAAGGACTTAGGTGAGTTGTAGGAGCTTTGCTTAAAACATTTATCCAGCTTGCAACAAGAGTGGAAGATGTGGCTCCAATTCCCCTCTGCCTCTTCTTGTGCCTTAAATATTTATGTGATTAATATGAACTTTAGAATGACTAATTCTGAGAATTCACCAGGGCCCAAAACAAAGTATCTGTCTTCACTGAGTTTATATTCTAATGGGGAGGGAACAAAAGTAAATATAAATGTCAGGTGATAACATGTGTTGTAACAGGAGAGGGAAGAATCAACATAAGGACAGGAATTGGGTGTGTGTCAGCACATGCTCACCTATGACATGCATGATTTTATATGAGAAGGACAAGGTAACATTTGAGCAATGTCCTGAGGGAAGCTAGAGATCAAGCCTTGTGGATAGCTGCAGGAAGAGAATTTCAACCACAAATAAAGGTCATAATGGGTAATAGTGCTTGGCATAGTCCAGAACCCCAGAGAAACCAGTGTTGGGATGGAACAATGTAGAAAGGGGTGGCGCCCAGAAGATGAGAATGTAGAAGAGTGGGTCTAGGAGGAATGGATCATGGAGAACTGAGGTACCAGCTTTGAAGGGGAGGAAGACAGGAATCCTAGGATTGTGATCAGAGTGTGATATCTGATTTCCCTTTTAGAAGGGGCTCTCACTTGGTCTAGTGATGAACAACCTGTAGGGGGAAGAGTGGAAGCAATGAGGCCAGCTCTTGCCTACTATAAAAAGATCTGAATTATACTTGATCCCAATGCCTGGAAGCCATGCAAAATTAAACAGCAGACAACTAACATTTAAAACAGAGGAAAGAAACTGTACAGTGATCCTTTTGGAAGGTTTACAATTGAAAATGTCTTGGAAAACTGTAAAGATTAGAAAGTTTAAATATTTATAATAAATAATAGTACTGAAGAGAGACTGAAGAATGATTCCAACCTGTGTCTGTCTCCTAGACTTTCAAATTACTGCTAAACTCATTCCATTTTTCACAGTTCAGTCAAAATGTACTTCCTAAAAACCAGATATAGGAGGGAAGAGGAAGGAGAACTACCGTGGGGGTAAATCTAATTAAGATATATTTTATGTAGGCACATATGTAAATATCACAATGTGTTCCCCCCATAACTATTATATGCTAATAATACAAAAATTAAAGATCAGATGTGACACTCCCATTCCCCTGAAAACCCTTTATTGGTTGTCTGTTGCTTGCTGCTCTGTACTCAAAGACAAAACCCCTCAATAATCTGTTCGAGACCTTTTATGAATGACCTCTGAGCTCCAGAATACAGAATCTTTCCATTCCCTGAATGAAACAACACTTTCTTAGCTCCAGGACATTTCCGATTATGTTTCTGTGGCCAAAACTATTTTGATTCTCTCTTCTTAGAATCAAGTTTGAAATAAGCACTATAGCAACTCATAGATAATTTCATGAGGCTGATATTAGATTCCATTTTAAACACTGTTATAGACATCACACTACATGTATCAATTATATCTAATATTTACAGTAACCAGCATTTCTATGTCACACAAGTCCTAATGTTGTTATTTCTATGACAATCCTTGCAAACTCTACCCCATGGAGTTGTACAATGCATAGGACCCCAACAATAACCCTATACAGTAGGTACTATGAGCCCATTTTGAAAGTGAAATAACTGAGGCTTAGACAGGTTAAGTACAAATACAAAGCTCCTCATTTAAGATTCAAACCCTGGGAGCCAGGCATGGTGACATACTCTGTAATCCCAGCTATGCAGGAGGCACAGGTAATAGGACTGAAGTCCAAGACAAGCCTGGACAAAAATGTGAGACCTAATCTGAAAAATAAAGCAAAAAGGACTGGGTGCTTGACTCAAGTGGTAGAGTGCCTGTCCAGCAAGCATAAGACCCTGAGTTCAAACCCAAGTACACCAAAACAAAAGCAAATGAACAAACAAAACCAAGAAAAAAAAATCAAGCCATGGTCTGCTTCAAAAACTGATATAATGTACTGGTATAATTTTCTGTTCCACTGTATCACTCCTGATAGTGTGTGAAGTAATATTTGACATCTACTGGGCTTGGGCTTGAAGTAGCCCATTGGAAAGCCTCTTGGCTTCCATTTGAGGTTAGGAGGGCCTTGTTAGCAATAGTCTTGTGGAAGGTTTCTAACAGCCTGCTTCTTATCTTATAGATTAGAGACTCAAACAGACAAGTACCCATGGCTGTGATATAACACGGGGCCTGGCATGTTCCTAGAGACAGCTGGCTCATACTCCCTGGCCTTTAGCAATCACCTGGCAACCTCTTCCTGTATGCACTGTCAGAACAACCTCTGAGCTTGGCTAAGAAAAAGCCCCGTCCTCCATCCCTGACCTAACCCCCTTCTCAACCTATGCTCTTAGCCAAAAGATACCAGGTATATAATGGTGAATGGATCAGTAAAAATCCATCATCAGTATGAGAGATAGAGGAGAGGGGCTTCTGAAGTTACCTAAAAATAACAATTATATCCAAAAAGTGACAGCATTATAATTTGTCAACTCTGTAGACCCAAAACACTGAAGCAACTGGAAAGAACTTTCTGGACTTCAGTTTCTTTCTTTAATGAATTAATACCAAATCCAAATGCTTGTGAGGATATGGGAATAGGTATTATGTAAATTGGAGCTCCCTTTTTCCTCCTTTGTCTCCTTTCTTTCAGGATCCTTTTCCCTTTTGTCAGATTCAGTCAGTTCTACTTTATTATTCTCACATTCCCCTCAAATATATATTTCTATAAAAATTAAACAGGACGATAAGAACAGAGATTGTAGGTATATTGGTGCCTATCTTTCTTTTTTCTGCCTTGATCTACTTAGTACTGGGACAAGGGTAGGCTGACTTTTATGGTGAATGCTGATCAACTCTTATGTCTATGGGCAGGTTTCATTTAGGACTATCCATTACATCATCCAAATGCATCTTAGACAGAGTAAGTAGTAAGAACATTTGAATTATCTTCTGTTAACTATTTACTTTAAAACAAAGCAAACAGCTGGATCACTTACAGATTCAGACCTGAATGATACTAATAAAAGATGGTGGAAAGATACCCAGCTATCAGTCATCCAGCCACCTGTGCTGAAGGGAGCAGTCACAGATACAAGAAATAGAGACACACACAGGCAGAACAGACAGTGTCACACTACCTCTGTACAGGGCAAGGAAGAGCCTCCACAGCAAAGAGGCCTGAACAGAAGGGAGGCAGCAGAGTGTCTGCTCTCTTTTAGAGGCTGTAGCCAGTTTTGACTGTCAAGGAGTGCCTGACTCAGAGAAATGGAATAT